AAACAATATTTATAGCATATTATAAAACCAACAAGAAAACAGAAAATTGTTATTTGTTAAACAATATTTATAGCATATTATAAAACCAACAAGAAAACAGATAATTGTTATTTGTTAATCAATATTTACAGCTTATAAAACCAACAAGAAAACAGAAAATTGTTTTTTGTTAATCAATATTTACAGCTTACAAAACCAACAAGAAAACACCAAGTTTGTCTCATTCCCGGCCTAAAAACGAGATTAGAAAGTCAAAAATTGATAAACCAGAAAACTCGGGAATAGAAAGACGACTTTTAAACTTAAATTATATCTTTATATAGTCAAATGAGCACGGGAAACAGAAATTATTCAGTGTAAACAGACCAATTTCACTTGATTAGTGATTTAATAAGTGTCTAATAAAATTATTTGCTCTACAACAACATCAAATACGCTTACCTATTGCTATAAAGTCGTCTTCCTATCTCGGAGTTTTCTGGTTATGATTGTACCTTTTTACGATAACATCAAAAGTACAATTTTGTAACTTAAATAACTGATGAAGCTTGTGAAAAAGTAATATTAAACGTTGAAATGTTTTACAACTCATGAACTTTAATTTCAACTAAATATTTCAAATATGTAGATGAAATATAATCTCATAATTTAAGGGTCTTTGCATTGTTTTCTATTCGAAAAAATTTGAAGACATATTTACAATTACAATATATGTGCAATATCTGCCTTACTCGACACGACCCTCTTTTTCTTTAAAGTAAAATCACGCAACCTCTGTGAAATAATGTCTTGTTATTATTTTTACCTTTTACTCTTTTTTCTTGGATCATTACAGATTCTTTTACGATTTAGGATTTAAAAAATAGAGGGTTTGAGCCTTGAGGTCTCCAAAAGTTAAAAGTGTTTGTTTTGTAAAAAACATGTGTACTATTTATTATTCTTTGTATTACGTTGAAAACCTATACGTTCCATAAAACAGATTTATCTTTTTCTTTTACCTAGAATAATTTCAATTCATCCATCTTATTTTTGTTTATCTTAAATCTTAATCTATCACAAAGTATCTTATTTTATCTTATCTGCTAAACCCAGAACACACAAAATTCCTTCATAAAACATAAAACTCTTTTTTTTTTACAAAACTTGGCTTTCAGGGCGCGCGCGATACAAACAGACAGACAAGTAAAGTATATATATATAGATAGATACAAAAAGAAACTAAGGAGTTTTCATTTAATACGTTGTTTTAAGGGTTCAGAAAATCATTCAATTTTCAAAAAATTTAAATTCAGCAAAAAATTCCCAGAAAATAACATTTTATAAAAAATATATTTAGTTTTTGTTAGAAAAGTATTTCGACTTAAGGCCAAAATTTGGCATTCCTTCCTCCCTTACACCTTTTTATACATCTCCTTGGATCAAAATAGAATGACACCTACTTTTAAAGTTGTGTACAAATAACAAGATCAAATACAGAAAAGATTACTTAAATGTTGTTCTCCCTTTTCCACGCTATTACGGGTGACACTTTAGTCAGGGTTTTGTTTTGTTTTAAAATTTATTGAATGATATATTTTTAAATAATACATATAAGAATACTGTACAGTTGGAACAATTCAGTTTGATTAAAATGACTAGAAATCGGTAAAAAGTCGGTAAAAAGCGGTGAATCATTTAAAATATATACAAGTATAATTTATTATTGGAGTACATGTAAGCAATACAATTTGGAGTTGATCGGTACTAATTTTCTTCACACAGTTTTTTAAATAAATCATCTTAAACATTTTTGCAGCTATTCTTATTAGATTTTATGCATTATTCATTCCTCAATAGCATTTCAGAATAACCTTTTTGTAAATGGGAAATAAATAATAATATTCTATGTAAGTTTCCGTTAATAAATAAGAAACAATAAGAAACCCCATACAATTTGGCTCGATTCTAAATAATTTCGAAAACTTTTGTTTAAAATGATGAACAGATACAAAAAATGTCTTACATTCTGTTTGATATTTCGAGGAAGAAGTGAGGAATTCTTCTCAGTGTTTTTCATTAAATGTTGCAGAGGGGACAGCAGAGTGCAAACATGTTATACATTTTCTAAATAATATGAATTACAACTTACAAGGAGACTTAATAAACATGTGAGATCAAAACAATAAAACTAGCTATGCATCTTTAGACTGAGGGTTTTATTTTTGCATCCCATTTTGTTCACAATTTTAATCGTCAGAAAAGCGTTGTTTACTGTCAACATTTAGTATTTTTATATGCTTCGTTTACAATGGACGGAGATTGGAAGGACTTTGTATATCATGCGACATAAAAGATTTAACATTATAATAATGGCAACATTTTAACAATCATTAGGATTACATTATTTTCACATGATAATTCTAATACATTAGAGTAAACCACTATTTCTTGATTATGAAAAGTAAAGTAAAATATATGTAAAGGAACCAATATTAACGTTTTGGTTAATCATATTTGATTAAATTTTCAATCTAAAATGTGTTGCGCGGCAATCGGATATGCGCAGTGCGCACTGTATTTTATTTAGCCGCAAGTTCTCTGTGCAGAACTCCCTGGAAATCCATCCCAAGTGCTCTCTCTAAGTTCTCTGCATCGTAGTTTGAGTAGTCCAGGGTATAGTCTGTATAATGGTAAACACCCTCCGATACAGGGTGCATCTAAACATTCAGAATTCAAATATTACACAAATTAATAAAGTTTCGAGTAAAAATGTGACTGACTGAAGTTGGATATTATGGCCCATTTAAAGGGACTGTAGACGTATCTTTACAGAGTGGCATGCTCAATTCACAGTTACAACATTTAAACAGTTGTCTGATTTAGGATAACGTATATATCAATACTTTTTAGCTCAAAATTGAGTATCTTCAGCACCATGTGACGTCATTAGTAAAGAGAATAATCAAGTTTCCCGGCACTCCTTTTTCAGTTAAAAAATGGTGTTTTCATAATCGTTAAACAGTTAAAAGTGTGACATTGTGAATAGGACATATCACACTTTTAATGAAGTGCCCATAGATAAACAAATGGAGAGCCCATAGATAAATAAGTGGAGTTCCCATAGATAAATATATGGAGAGCCCATTGATAAATAAATGGAGTTCCCATAGATAAACAAATGGAGAGCCCATAGATAAATAAATGGAGTTCCCATAGATAAATAAATGGAGTGCCCATAGATAAATAAATGGAGTGCCGATAGATTAATAAATGGAGTGCCCATAGATAAACAAATGTAGTTCCCATAGATAAATAAATGGAGTGCCATAGATAAAAAAATGATGTGCTCATAGATAAATAAATGGAGTGCCCATAGATAAATAAATGGAGTGCCCATAGATAAATAAATGGAGTGCCCATAGATAAACAAATGGAGTGCCCATAGATAAATAAATGGAGTGCCCATAGATAAA